ATATATATATATTAAGGAAAGAGCATTATTCGGCTCCACATACATTAGTCTTAAAAAAAGTTACAAAAGGGGGAGTGTTGGTGGATCCCCATGCTAAGAAACAAAAATTACAAATGCCCACAAATAAGGGGTTCCACCTCCAATAGTATAACTCCACACAAAAAAAAAATTCAAAAAAACATACAAGTATACCAAAAAAACAAAAATAAGGATATCATCCAGGCAACGAGAGGTTCGAAGGATCCATGGTCTAGAATTGCCTCTATAGTTTCTCCAACAGTGTGACAGTTTAGCAAAAAGCCATATGTGACAGCATCATCCTCCATGAGAAATAATACCAATAAAAGCACAGAAAATGATGTCTGGAGCAACAAGAAAAAACTAGAGAGATTAGCAGTATCCCAGACAACAAAATAAGGCTTTAATGTGTGATTAAAGAGAGCCTGCAGCCATGAAATAAATCCCAGCTTCATGAAACTAAGCTTGATCAGACTTTTTGGCCCTCAAAGCATAAAGCTACATAAGAAAAAACTAAAGGCAAACATATAAAAAGAAACCAGAATACTATCTTCTAATATATGGAATATCCAAAAGATCACCATTGAGAAGTTTATTGAGATAGTAGGAAGGTTCTAAACCCACAAAAAGACTAGCCACACCACGCTTTGCCAGCCAATCAACCGAAGAATTACCCTCCCTGTATATGAAACTCATGTGAGCCTTTAGATTGTGTTTAGAAATAATGTCTTAAATTTGATTAAAGATGCAAATTAGATTCCAGTAAGGCGTGGATGCCTTAATTAACATTTCATAAAGAGAGATAGAATAAGTTTCTACTATTAAGCATGTAAACTTAAAGACAGTAGTAATTTGTAAAGTAAGCAAGATGGTCCAACATTCAGCCTCAATTGGACAGAAGGCATTAAAAGGTGAGGCAAAATGATATAGAGAAAAGCCCAAATGATCTCTAAGTATTTCTCCAGCACCAGAAACATTAAGAACCCAACTGTCATCTATATTAACTTTGATCTAGCCAAAGGATGGGGGTTGTGATCCCGATTTTATATGACAGTACGATGTATGCAGTTATAATCTAAATTTTTCCTTACTTATATTTCTTACTTTGCAATGTCTGCCAAAAACTTGACTTCGAAGCAAATAAGTATGCAATTATTATGTTTAATTATGGGATACTATGTAAATATATGTATCGTTATCAAGTAATATAAGACTTTTAGATTAAGCCTCAAATATTAAACTCATATAAAATATTAAACCCATATAGAGAAATACAATATGCAACTAAATCAGAAGAAATTAGATAACAAATTCTACTTTGCAAAATCTTCTTACTCAA